GTCTGGAAATCTGAAGGTTCATTTGCTTTCCCTAAGAAAATCCACAGGTGGTGGCTTGAAGGTTTTGAGATAAGAGCTTTTGTCTGTAATAAGATCTTCTGATTTAGAATGAGCTGGATAGATGACTATAACTACATGGTTGTATTACTGGATTTTATATTTCTTTATAAAAATACAATACATGGATTATATTGTAAAGAGGCTTGATTGTTGTCCTCGTGTTTGAATTACAATATTTACGCCAGGATATTGTTAGTTTTTCCTCAAGCTGTAGTATTCAGCTACACTGAAATAAAGAGCTTATTTGAAGAAGTCTTCAAACTTTACACCTCCTGTGTGTATAGTAGTGTCTATTTCATGAATGAATTTCCAGCAAGTCCTACCTGAGGTGACTGTGGGGAGTCCTGGGTGTCTGTCCGAGGCCAGAGTTGCTGCCTTGCCCTGTGCTGGAAAGCCAGGAGAGCAGCAGGAACAGCTGCGCAGGCCGAGTTCTCCACACTGTGTGTGTAGCTGGTGGGACTTGCAGTGTCACTACCGCATCTGTAGGCATTTACAATGTTATAGACTAGTAATTGTAGCTGTTAGATCATTGCTGTTTCTTTGTTCACAGGCCTCGGGAATTTAATGCTGCTAAATATGCTGTAGATGTATGAAGAGTATATGTTTTTCTGTTGGTACTTCACCAGCTGCTGAATTTTTTATGATACGAATAATAGCTTGTTGTTTGATACTGTGAGCGTTCTGCAATTTTTAAATTAAATCTCTTCTTAATGATGACTATCAACAAGTTCCCAACAGTATTATTGTTTGAGTTCTTTTGAAGATGCTTTTAATCCTTCACTATTTGAATCTAATGTCTGGAATTCATCCATTAGAAGCACCAGTGAAGTGTCTTTTTGATGTTTGTCCATTGTATGCATGATATATCCAAAAAATCGTACTCGCAATATAATTTACACTTCTTATCATATCCCCCTAAACAATGTGAAGATTATTGATTAATCCACAAGAATCCACTGAAAAAGATGTTGAGAAACTGCACTGTGAAAAACAATGTTACTGGCTCCTTTCTCCAGCAGAGGCATTAAGTGTTGCCCCTTGTACAGGGGGAAGGAATGACCAGGAATTCTTCAACTTGCATTTCATTCCTTTGCCCTCCTTTGGAGAAATCTGGTTCCCAGATTTCCTCTATGCTCCTTTGAAGGGCATAGAAGAGAATTTACTCCTCTATTCTCACTGATCTGGGTTTGCTTTTTTTGTTTTGTTTTGTTTTCTTTTCCTGCATTCTTTATTGCAGTATTTTCTTCAAAGTTTTGCCTGAAGCGAGAAACCCTGCTACTCAGTCTCTTAGGAATCATACTGACGAGCACTTGAGACTCTAGTAGGAAGTGAGGTTAAATTATATGTCATCACCTTCAAATAGATCTTTTGGAAGCAAAAAAAAAAAAATGTTCATGCCAATAAGTTGCTTTTATGTTTCTTCCTTCTTCTGACATCCATTTCAAATTCATGGAACAAAAGTGCATTCTCTTGAAATTACTTTGTGTGCATATGTCTCAGGTGTCAGCTACTTCATTGATGAAGAAAGCAATGTTGTTGTATGGCTCCTCTGAGATCACTAAGTTTTTAAAAAAAGTAAAACAACTCACACCCCCTCCAAAACCAACAAGGAAGCAGTAAGAATTGGGAGCATGAAAGAAAGAATAAAACAGGCTTTCACATCACAATGAAAATGGTGTTTATGTTTTCCTGTTTCTTAGTGTTTTTTGATATCTTGAAGAGCTTTATGGTTACTTACTATACTGGGAGCTTGAGTCGGTTTGCTGGTTCTTCCTCTTACATGAAGCTTTGCTGTCCTGAGACCCTCCACTGCTGTCCCAGTACTGCTGTGGTGTATTCAGCTATGAGTTCAGGAGACACACAAAGTGCACTGCAGGAGCTGCCAGGGTCTCTGTAATAATCTAATGGCCTCTGTGGGTTTTGTTCTCTTCCAGGAATAGACTAGAATAAGTGAATAACTATTCCTCTATTCCTGAAGTACGTGGCATAAGTCTGCTTGTTTTTTGTTTTTTTTTTTGTTTTTCTCCTGTCAAAACCAAGAGGGGAAAATATTTGTCAAACTAATGCTGAAGCTGGAGTTAAAAATGTACTCATTGCTCAGTTGTATGCCAGCTCAAGAATGGGCTTGGCGGCCGATTTACTGGTCCCTGAGTTAAGTGATGTTAATTTGACGTAAACTAGGGATGCACTAACTTCAAACAGGTCCAGTTCTTTGGGTGTTTCAGTGTTAAAAGTCTGAAGACTATTTTTGTCTTCAAAAATGGCACTTGAACTTGGAAGTTCAGATTTGGTCTAAACTTCAAATAAGTGCGCTTTGGAAACTAACATCCTCATGTTAATACGTATTCTTATTTTCTTCAATTGTATTAAAAAATGAATGCATGCTTTTGATATAGTTGGCTTCATATCTGGACTTTACTGTATAAAATTTCTGGACCTTTAATATTCAACCGAATATGAACTCTTTTCAGTAGAGGGTTATAACTTCAGAGGATTTCTGTAGGAAGTTGGTGATTTCTTTGATTGTGTTTATTCGTAATTCCAGTCCACCATCTCTCCACCCAGAGAAGAGAAGAAGGGTTGGTAGAGACTAATGTGTATGTCATGATGTAGATCACTTACTCTTTTGGGGAGCATGTCTTTTCTTTTCAATGAGTCCAGTATGAAAAGCATGATATCTTAGTGTGGGATTTTTCCTAGGGTATGTATATTTGTAACAGGCCATAAATTAATGTTCCTAAGTAGTAACTGTTTTAATAACAAATGGAGCTTCACCGTTGGACTGTATACAGTGCGTATGCACATATATGTGTGTGTAAATATATATAGCTATATATATCTTTGTGTATGCATGTGTATTTTATAAACAGCTGACATCACAAGAATTGTGCAGTCTTTCTAGATGAACTAGAGTAGGGTTGTGGCCGAGGTAAAACGTGAGCAGAACTTGCTGCCAACTGCTATATCTCTTTGCGGAGTGTGGCTGAGGAGGGAGTCTCTGTGCCAGGGTCCTTCCCTTACTGCCAGAAAAGACTTGAAAAGCTTTGCCAGTTACAGACTACAAAATGATCTTGAGATTGATTTAGAGTGCCTTGAGGGACATCTATGCTGAGAAGGCCTTAGCTGCTCTCTCACAATAGTTTTCCGAGAAGTTTGTACTCTTTAGAAGAATGCAGTGCCAGAATTGGTTTTAGACAATAGATTCTGGTCCTGTGCTGGTGAAGCTCTAGTTCATTGATGCAGGGGGAAAGATGCAAACATTTGACGTGAGCAGCAACAGGAAAATGGGCTTCTTTTCTTCCTCATGAGTTCTCGCAAGTTCATTAACAATTTGGTTTCCTTTCCTTACTGGTTTCAATCAGCAAATGGAATTCACTGTGCTCTATTTCAAGTAAAGGATTATTTTTTCTGCCTTGTATCCTCCAAATGAATACTTTAATTGAAGGTCTCTGAAATATTTGCAAGAGGTGATTTCTGTAGAGTGCTGTCTTGCACCTCCTTACATTATCCAAACTTACAGGTACTGCAGAAAGTGATCAAGACTCATCTGAGGTTAGAAGAAAGTGTCACTCTGTAAATGGAACAAGTAGACTGTGGTGTTGCCACCCTTAGAAAATAATAGATTACACTTTTGCTGCTTTCATCAAAGCAGCTCAGAACACTTAACAAACAGTAATTACGTTTCACAAAATCCTGGTGAGACAGGTAAGTATAATCACACATTTTTGCAGCTGGACAGATTGAATCATGCAGGTGTTATCTGCCCAAAGTAAAACAAGTCTGTGGACAATTTCAGAATAAAAATCAAGGGATCCTAATTCTTAACCCATTGTGTTCTCCCTGCTAACCCTCTGAAAAGACCGTTCTGTTTGCTGCTTAATTGCAGAGGCTGCCAGTTATCTGCTCACACAACAACAGCAACAACAACGAAAAACAAGCAAGCCACCTCAGTGCCTGTTTTTACAGTCTTATCACCAGACGACTATTTCATCTTGAATCTGAGAGGGAGAGAATGGTTATGGCACTAATCTGTTGTTTAAAATACTTATCTTCACTTTTATGTGACACTGCTATTGAGTTTTTTTAGGATCTTTTGTGTTTTAATTTCTGTATGTCGCAGTTTTTCATTTATAAAATGCCTCTCTTTTCTCAGACTTTTTATGTCTTGGCCTGTGCGATGAGATCTCTGAGGCAGAGAGTTGACAGTTTCTACCACGCAGGGTACAGCAGTAATAAAGGAATGATTTTCAAAGCACTGCTTTCCCCTGGTTGTTGTTCAGATGACATGAAGGGTTTGGATTCCAAAAATTCTCCATTGCTAGAATATTTAAAGGCAGTCAGTGGATTCAGAAGGATGTTTGAATCTCAGCAGGTAGAGGAGAAGGGGTGCATAGCTAATGCAAGCATACTGAGCTTCCTGAGGTTACATTAATAGTAGACATGTTGGCTGAATTCTCTTGAGCACCGCTTAGGTTGCATCTCAAGTGATTCTTTCTTCCCTCAATCTGGCTACGGCTTTCAATTAGAGACTGGGATTTGAAATGGAACAAAACATCAGACTTTAAAATACCAGCTGTGCTTTATTTTTAATACTTTCTCCACTCAAAGGCATACTTTGGGAACATGCTGAGCCTGATGTTTTTTTCCTTTCTGTAAGATGGTCCCTGTAGATTATAGTTCTGAGTTTGTAAGTGCAGTAGGATTTGTCTTTCTAGATTATGATAATTAACTTTAAAGAATAAGGGTTGGTAATTCTGCTATCAAGAAAGTGCTTTTTTGTGTGTGTGTATGTGTGTGATCCCATAACTTTGTATTGTATTGACTAAAACATGCATTTCTTAAAATGTGCCCAAAGAGGATTACTTTGTATTTGATAATAGGAAAACATTGTTCCTAATTGTACTTCTGTGTGTGTATGTGTGTTTGCTTTTGATGTGCAGGGCAGGAGCGAATTGGCAAAGACTCCCATTATGAGCAAGAAGGGAAGGTGCAGTTTGTGATCGATGCCGTGTACGCGATGGCGCACGCCCTCCATCACATGAACAAGGACCTCTGTGCGGATTACCCGGGGGTCTGTCCGGAGATGGAGCAAGCAGGAGGCAAGAAGCTCTTGAAGTACATACGCAGCGTTAACTTCAACGGTGAGTTGAAACACTATTTTATTGGTAGCGTTTTGACCACTCTAAGTTTTTTTTTTCTCTATGAAACTTTTGTTTATTTATATTTTCATTTAATTCAGATGGAGGTTTTTTTTTTGGTTCACTAGAGTTTGTGGTAGAAGACTGTATTTATTTAGTGTCTCTTTAAAAACATGGTGTTGCTTTACTTGAATTTGATATTTTGTAAAACATTTCAGTTTTGCAGGATCCCAGGTAGCCAATGCAAATAATCAGAAATTGTTGCTGCTATTTTAGAATATTTCCAGAAGCCTTTGATTTCCTATAAGTGAAACAAATAGTTGAATGAAAAACTTCAGGTCGTCTTTGATTAAATATGCCTGTTTGAGCCCTAGAAGTTTGTTAGCATCACATACATCACATATCTATATCTTTTTTATTTTTTCTTATTTATTCACTTTGTTTCCTTTATTTGGAGAAAACTAGCAGGATGACATCTGGTACCCTTAAACCCAGCTGAGCTTCATGTTTAAGCCAACGCAGAGGATAGCTAAAGGGACAGGTTCATTTGTAGAATCAGAACTGTGTGATTTAGACCGACTGATTACTTCAACTTTCCTTCTTCCAGTTAGGTTGAGGAAGTAGAAACACAAAACTTCCTGGGAATGAGGATGGGAGAATTTTTTTATTCAGCTGCTTGTTGTGTATCCACTGATGCTTCCACCATTTGGTGTGTGGCATTGATAGTTAACAATAGTAGCCCTCTCTTCCATACAGGTCAATGGCTTCCACTTACTTTCCTCTGCCTGGTACTGTATGAATCGAGCCTAAGTACTGGCAGAATTTCCTTGCTTCTGTGTGTTTTACTGAAATTTTATTGGCTACATTAATACCCATGGGGGAGATTGACCTGAGCCCAGCTCCAGAGTCACTGGAGCAGATCACTCATAGCAGGTAACATTACAAGCAACCTAATGTCATTTCCCCATCATAAACCTTGCTAATGTGGGTACCTGGGGGCTTAGTGTTCTGCTGTAGCTCTCTGTAAGACACAGATCCTGGATTTAACTGGAGGCCAAAAGATGGACCTCCAAATAGATTAGTTAAAACAGATTTTGTAAAGTAATGAGTGTCCATTGGAAATGGCCATCGTAGCCACAGATACTGATTTTCATGGAGCAGACATCACCTGCTCTGTGGTTGACAAGGAGAGGCCTCCAGAGCAGCCCCAGGGGACGTTGTGTGTCACCTCCAAGGGTGAGCGCTGAGGGTGCTGTGCGTCACACATGGCCACACAGGCCAGGTCACGCCTGCGACACAGCATCTTGTGCTCTGCTATAGCTGCTTCAGCACCTAGGTAGGTATGTGTGTTCAGGTTTAGGTTCCTGAATTTTGACAAATTTGATCCCATGCTCTGGGATTTTTGCTGCAGTTTACTAATAATTGTTTTTATTAATAAAGGAAAAAAAAAATAGGAACAGAGAGATTTAAAGATAGGAACAAATCTGGTCTGTAATGGTCAAGTTTGGTCATTTGTGTTAGGCATATTTTTCCTCTATGTAAAAATTGTCTTATGAATGGCAAAGTGTATTGCAGGAGATTTTTATTTCCTCCCCTGAGGGAAGTTGCTTAACTACATCTTTCAAGATGAATAATCTGAGAAAGTCTGGAGAGTTCTACTTTCCTCATTTTGGAAGGTGACTATAAAAAAAGAAAAATAAAAAAGACAAAGATTAAATAGCAGTAAGGTATTCATATACACCGTTGTACTTTGGCCATTTTAGCACTTGAGAACAGCTCATACATTATCATCTCTAGACAGCTTTTGCATATAAAGAGAAGGAATGGTCATTCTATCATTTTACTGAAGCTGAGAAATAATTTGTGAAAAAATGGGTGGCCAGTTAATTCTGAGTATTGCTCAGCTCCTAAAACTGGTTTGCAGTAACTTTGATTTCCGTAGTTGTGTTTCTTTGGTCAGCATTTTAAAGGATGATTTCTTTCTTCAAATGAGATTTACATAGCAATATGGTGTTTTTCCTTGGTTATATACATGTGGCTCATGGCCAGCATAGGGCTTGAAGAAGTGATTCGCTTTTTAGCAGAGAGGGAGAATGATGGCAAAACTGATACAGTTATAAACATTTAATTTTCTTTGGCTATTTGCTACTGGTATTTCCCGTGGGAAAAGAACCAATTTCTGTAAGTGTATTATTTGAGGGCAGAGTTTAGCTTTTTTTGTCACATTGGTGGGGTGTTGTAATTGTACGTGTGTTTGCATATCCAGGCTCAGTACTGTGCCATAATCCTTCTGGGGCTGCGGAGAGATGTTCAGGGAGACCTGCTTCTTTATCTGATCTGGGAAGCATTGTAGAATAGGCACGGAACAATATACTAGAGCTAGAATGGAAACTATGCTAATTCACTCCTCCAAATCTTCTTTCACTTGCTAGAATTCAATGAAGAATGGGAATTGCGAAGGAAACTATAATCTTAAATTTCAGTGCTACTACAGGAGAGATTTTTCATTGCTTTGGGGAAAAGAAAGTTATGGGGTAGGAGGAAGCTTTGAATATAGATATATGGAAGCATTGTCATAATCTTCAGTCTTGACACAATATTACTTTACCCTGCTGAAACCTGTTTTAATATATCTTGAAATAAATGTCATCCTTGAAGTTTTTACCTAGAGCCCTGAGAAAATACAACATTGCTTTGAATTGTCATTTAAGAAAGGTTCACTATCGCTATGGTAATTAAAATGAAGCTTTTCTGGTCGTAACGTTCTTGTCTAAGGAATAATCTGTAATTTAGTTCAGCTATCGAAGTGCTTCTAGTGCGTGGACTTCCTTGGGAGATCCAATTCTGTGCACTGTATTTGGGTGCACTGCAGGCTTCACCTCCTGCCTATCAGCAGTGCAGGGTGACGGATGCTGATCCTGAACTGGTCCTGACTGAAATACTTCTCAGCCTGTATCAGTGTCACAGAGGATAAATAAGGAACTATGCAAGCAATAGTCTTCCTCTAGTTTACTCTGTTCTTTTCCATCTCAGCTGCATGCTGATTACTGGAATAAGAACATATTGTGGAGGAGGAAGCTATTTCTGGATGCCAGTCAAGATTCACTAGACCTGGGCTGGCTTCTGACAGCAGTATCTCTCAGAAGCAGATGGAATGTTTTCTGGGGGAAAAAAAATCATTTAGAGGCTCCATTCACAGGGATGATTTTCACTCAAGAACTCCCTAAGGAAAGAAGGATGGGGAGGAAGACTGGAGGTCAGAAGGAAAAGCCTTCTGTTGTTTCTTGCTGTGTGCAAGGTTACAGTGAAGTAAAGCTGATCTAGCTTTGCTTTGTTTTATTTTCAGTGGATTCGTCAGTGCATTTGGGTAGTGATCATTAATCACAGAAAGAGGGCTGGGATTATGCCACAGTGTCGTAGTGTGTTTATTTTAAATGGCTGGGCTGATAGATGGCCGTTGCCTGAAACACGTTGCCAGTCTGAAAGCTTTCAACTGTGACTAAGTAAATAAAACAGATACTGTAAAGCTTTGGCTTTTTTGTTTGGTTGGATTTTGTCTTGTTTCCTTCCTCAGGCAGTGCTGGCACTCCAGTGATGTTTAATAAAAATGGTGATGCGCCAGGACGCTATGACATCTTTCAGTACCATACAACGAACACCAGCACCCCAGGCTACCGGCTCGTTGGCCAGTGGACAGATGACCTTCAGCTCAATGTGAGTCTCTCTTATTCAGCGTTTGCTTTCCTTTTCCAGGTACAACCACTAAGTAGTATTTTGTCACCATGCAGGAAATAATACATGGAGATCTACTATCTCTTCACAGCTATAGTATCTTCTTCTGTTCCATCATGCCATCTCTTTTCTCTATGCTGACTACCCAAGCTCTTCAAATGAACAGACACATCAGATGATTATGCAGATTTTATTACTTTTGCATGTCTGATGTCTTTAGTCGCCAGCTAGGAAAATGAGCCAGTAATGTATTGTTGTTTGTAACTAATGGACTTTTATTTTTAGATTATCTTCAGTTCTTCTAGTTTTAGGTAAACAGAAATTAAGAATTTTTTGTGTCACTCACTTTTCCTGCGTTACTTTTATACATGTAACAAAGATAGCCATATGAATGAGATGATCCTTCTGTAGGCATGTAAGAACAGAGGAGCCAAGATCCCCAAAATACTTGGTTGTTGCCCACATGAAAAAAAAACAAATGTGACTGGTAGCAAAGAGAGCTAGAAACTCTCTGCAGCTTCACCCAGGCAAGAACATTCTGTGATAGGCCCCTTGCATGGGTCTCTGGAGATCTGGATTCGCTCCTTGGCCATGGCACAGGCTTCCTGCTTGGCTTTGTACAAGTCATTTGGGCCTTGAATGCATGGAGAAGAGGTGCCATTTTAACCTTATAGTTATTTGTCTCTTTGTAGATGTTGTTATTAAAGCACAAAGGCAATTTTTTTGATTCAGTTTAACTGAGAACCTGCTTAAAATCGAAGTATTGCTAAAATGAAAGGGCAGTTGCTACAGAAGGGTTTTCTTTCTCAGCTGAGGTTTCCACCTGAGGTTATACTACAGGAACTTGCCTAGGAGGTCAACAGTTAATCTACTGTGTTAGTTTCTGATGCAAGAAGTTCCCCGATGAGCATCATCTAAGGGGAAGACATTCTTGAGTGTACTGTGGCTTTTTCAGCCACTTTGGAAGGAAAGACTGGTGTGATGATAGTCCAGTCCTGCCACACAGCCAAGGGGTAATCAGGATGTAGCTGATACAGGAATTCTGATTTGTGGTTCAGTTCTTTATATGTGAACACTTCATTGGGAACTCTGTCCACCAGTCCAGCTATATAGCTTGTATTCAGGTTATATACTATTTAGGTAGATAAAGTATGATAATTTGAGATGTAACAGAATCCACTTTCTTCTTTTAAAGTATTTCTTCTTTAAATGTATTCATGTCTTTTATTCAATGCAGGCATTAATGTGGTTTACCAAAGTCCAGCTTTCAAGATAATATTTTCTTCTTAAATTCTGATTGATTTTGATTTGTTGCAGGCTATTTCTATGTTTTTCAACTTGAGATGTTCTATTTGAGGCAAGTTGCTATATTAACTTGCAATTTACAATTCTTTTAGCAAAAATATTAATATTTCATTAAGTAAATACTACTTTACAGAAACTATTTATCCTGAATCATTAAAATTTAAAACTAAATGAATGGAGCTTGATTTGTATTCCTGTTGTAGTGTTAAATGTTTCCATAAAAATCATACTCTCCTCACCTTTGTATCCTCACGTGCCTATGGTGTTCTATCAGTAGTTGAGACTGTCACAGTAACTTCCCTTCTATGCACTTACAGGTCTTAATTTCTCCCTGGAATCCATGCAGGAATCAGCATTATTAAGGTAGTTTATGCACATAGTTTCTTAACAAAAGTAAAATTGTGGAATTTAGAGAAGTCAGGTTTCCTACCATAGCCAATCAAAGTAAGATATTGTTAAAGGTGTCCCAAGAAAAGCTGCCATAGACTTTAAATTTTCTTCAGTAATTATTGTTGGGGATAACACTTTAGAACATTTTTCTCAAGTTCTCGTTTCTTTAATACTGACATAAGATATAGGGAGAAAAAAAAAAGAGAGAGAGAGAAAGGATGGTTTGATGAGAGATCACCAATCTTAACTTAGAAAATGCTGAAGAGATGTTTCGTTTTAAAGAGACTTGTCATCTTGGGCAGATCTCTTAGTTCTGAGTGTTTCAATTTCCTCACAAAGCAAAAATTGTACTGCACTACCACCCCGTCTTATGCTCCAGATATCAAAGATGGTAGATAATTAAGTGCCAAGGACTGTCACAGTTGAGCGAAGTATTTGTTTCCTTCTCTTCTTTATCTCATCTTCATTCAAAGAGTGAGCAAGAATATATATTTCCATGGAAGCACAACTGTTAAATCCTATAGTCAGTCTAATCTCACAAGGTTATACTTTATCTTCCTAGTCATATCTTTGAGTGTGAGGCAGGAGTATGGGGGATAGGAGCTGATTGGTCTTGATATTTTTCAGATACTTATATAATAACATTATGGACTTTTTCTTCTGTGTTTTCAAGTAAAATCAGGTGTTCTTTTCTCAATTTCTGCTCTTCTATTGCATGAGACACTCACTGAATAGACTGAGGAGGTCTTTAAAAATATACATTCATAAGTCTTAAAAATATGCCATATCACTTTTTTCTTTTTCTCATTACCAGTTTATACACCTGATTTTATGAAATGTCTGAGTCTTCATTGGTATATTTGTCTCAGTCTTGATCATTTCTTCCCATCTTTAGATCACCTTTGCTTTTTAATGCCTGCCAGAAATGTTCAGAAAATGCAGACGAGTTTATTCTGTGTAAATACAGGGCCAGATTCTGATCTGCCTTTAACAAGTTTATGTGTGAAGCGTTTCCTGTGAGCAGAGTTGACTGAAATTACATTTCTGTATCTGAGGTCAGAAATTGTTCAATTACCAAGAAAATATCTTGTGGCTTTTCACTGCAAGAAACTCAAGTATGTAATCACCATATTTCCTTTTGTTTTCTTGATCTCAAGCAACCTAATACAGCTATGCCTAGTACTCAAGGCATGGTTTATTGACAATTCTGGCTGTATTTCATAGATATCTACACAAGGATAAAATGAACAGATGTCTAATTTTAAATAGTTTGGCCAGTATTCCACTGAAAAAATGTTGCTGTACTTGTTCTCCCTGCAGTGAAATTGTGATTACAAGAATATCCGTCCTCCTCCTGTAGGAGGGCGTGGAAAAGCATGTTCTTTTTTCTCTCTGTTTTGTGAAGATTATGTAAAGCTCTGTCCAGCCCTTTTTGGCCTCTACATGCAGATTTGCTGTGTAACATTTATTCTTTGCTTCCTGCTGTAATGTGAAATGCTTTGCCCTGCATTCAAGATCAGAAGTTTGGCCAGCTGCATCCTCACTGAAATCCAGTATTTTGACCTGCAGCACCTGCCTAATAGCAAAGATAATGCTAATTCAATTAGACAATAAAATCACGGTAATGTTAGCATCTGAAACCAGGTCTGTATTTTACTATGCCACTATTGAGGTCATGTATTAAAGGCAGTCACATAATTCCAAGGAAAAAGAAATATATTGTCCTTACTTAGCTTTAAATTGATAAGAAATACATACCATTAAGGCAGCATTTTGGAATGTCAGTGCACTTAGTGCAGAAGGTATTTTAAATGTATATTAGCAAGGACTATGGTTTTATTATATTCTAATGTTTTAAAAAATACCATGATTTAAACTTCTGTGTTAAAGCTGCATGCCTGTAGATTGTCTGCTTCTTTAAAAGAGGAGGAGAAGAAATCCAAATAAGAAGAAAGTCTGTGGTGTTTGTCTTTCTCTCATTCTGTTGCACTGGTATATTTTTAGATTGCAGGGGTAATCTTACAGTTTAACTTTCACTTCAGATTTTTCTTACTTTTCTCAAAGAGGGCATACACATTTTCCCTGAACTTGAAAGCAGCCAGGTTTGTTAAAATACATCAGAAAAGCAGTTTCTCATGAGATTATTAAGTTTCAGGCTGCCTATGTATTTGCATTGTTTTGGCCATAAGGTTATCCTTCATTATGGCTGCTGCTGTATTTTAAAAGCAAGACATGCTACTGGCGAAAAAGAGCAAATTTACCTGATGGAAGGAAGGTTTGTCAGGGTAGCAGATGGGTTTTGTTTGATTTGCTTTTCAACTTAATATTTTTTACAGTACTTAGATCACTAACACATGGGCTGTTGAAGCAATAGGGAGATGGTTCTGTGAGTAAAGCAGGAAGGTAGAGTGGCCAAAAGATTAGGGGTTCTGTTTCTACCTCCTCAATTTCTATTGGACTTTTAGAAAGATAATTAAGTCTCAGTGTTTTGGTTTAGCATATGCCATAAATACACTAACAATGGATACTTTCTTGACATATGTGCCCTTATTTGCTAGTCTTTATGAAGCACTTTGATGTCTATCAATAGAAGGCACTACAGGTACACAAGGAACTGGCTGACCAGCTCTGTGACATGGCTGACTTACTAGTGCAGTTTCCAGTGCCTTGAAGTGCCTGAAAAAGAGAAAAATGGGTTGTCCTTAGAGAAACTGGAGGTTCTCATGGAAAATTTGGCGATACTGCTCCTCTTCATCTCTACATTGTTAATTCAGTAGTCCTATGTTTATTAGATTTTTCACATCCAAATTTCTGCAAGTATACTTGAATATCAAAACTCCAAAATAAAAAAGTCCCAGTGAAAATTTCCAAGGAATTGTCTTCTGCATACCCTCTCCCACCAGCTTGCCCATCATGTTTTCTGTGATTCCACAGTTTCCCAGCAGTGCCTGAATTCTCTCCCACATCCATATGTAATTTGCTGTACAAGTGACGGCCATATTGTGGTTGTCTTTGAGTTGTACATGTGCCACCTGGCCAGCTCTCTTGACACTCGGAAAGGATTCCTCAGAAATAAATATATATATCTCATCCTCTCTGAGGGTCATATATATATATATATATATGACAAATATATATGTGTGTGTATATATATATATGAGACAAAATATAGAAATACCCTAAAATTCTGCAGAAAGCACAGTTAGGTAAAAACTATCTTGTTGTTAGTAATTATTGCTCTAAATGTGGTGAACACAAAAGTGTTGCCCGTAAGGGCACTCTTGCTG